TTTGCTGGCTGAACAATGCCTTCACAAAATTAGTAGACTGCCTGCTATTGAGTGAAGCTGAATAATTCATTGGGAATAAATTATCCAAGAAATTTAGCACTTCTTTCTGTTTGCTAATGAATCAGGCTTTATTCTTTCAGTGCATTGGTTATTCATAGGTATTCACTGAATGGATTTAGCAAACCAATTTCAGCCTATGGGTGGTTTGCAAAATTCCTCTCTATTTATGGTGTGTTGTTAGTGATCAATAAAGCACATAGGTTCCCCTCAGCACCACCACCATCTGACTCCTGGCAGGATGAAGACAATAATCTATTTAAACAAAGGGCAAAACTGGAGACTACAGTTAGAAACTGATGAAAAGAATGTTTCCTGGATGCATTTTGAAGCAAATTATCAGTTGTGTGAAAATATAAGGAAGCACGGTAGGTATTTTCCTGACAAATTGTTCATTTGAAATGGAGTCAACAGTCAACAAGGGAGAGTTCCCATATTTAAGAACAGCTTGTACTTAATATGGACAAGTGGATATAACTCTGTACCTAGGAGGTCTGGAACTTGTCTCTTGATTTGTAACCTGGCCAGGAAGCCTTATGGCTAATGGGGTGGGATAAAAGTCTAATAAATAGATAAATGAATAAAATGTATGTGACCTTGAACGTTTTCGCATCATCTGTAAAATGGGAAAAGTTATCTGCTTCACAGGGATGTTGTCAAGGGAAAATAGAAGTAAGACTGTAAAGCTCCTCCTAAATTTAAATACTATATAAATTATTGGTCAGATCAATACTATCACATTACTGTGAATATTCAATCAGATCAAATCTGCTTGCTGTTCTGTTTTTTTCATGGTTGACCCTATTATTAGGAAAGTGCTGGGGAACCATTTCTGGAAGCAAATTGCTAGATATATTTGGGCATGATGCAATCAGAGTTCCATACTTTTTAATTACATTGATTTTGGTTGCTGAATTCAATCCTATACATAAGCCCTCCTCAGCATATCTTCCTGATGTTCTAGATTACAGTTCCCATTGGTCCCATCTAGCATGGTCCATGCTTGGTAGAGATGCAAATAATAACCCTTTCCACTCAATTGGAGGGTGGAATTGGCAACCTATTGGAGAAGACTGCTGTAAACACTTACTTAAGATGAAATCCCAATGAACCAAGTAGATCTGCTTCTGGTTATCCATGGACGAGACAGTACTGCACGTCTCTCCTACTGAAGCAACTGCTGTATTCAATGGTGCATTCTTGTTCATAGCAGTCAAGTGGGGGCTTCCATGAATGGAAAGGCCGGGTAAGGCAGATTTCACTTCCCTTTACAGCCCTGCAGCTCCTCCCACTTCCACCAAATCCGCTCGACATGACAGCCCGCCATGCAAGGTGGAGCATGTGCATGTACGGCAACTGTGGCCACCTTTCTGCATATCCAACCTTCATCTGGGGGTTGTTGCATCTTGCAAACCCAGCAAACGTGGGCTATGCAGAGAGTAATCAACCATTACAACACCCTGGAACAGATCGTGGGTTACACAAGGATTGTTTAACCTTTCCATAACCCATGCTCACCGAGGTTCACATGACTAAATAACCCTGCCTGCTTTTTGCAACGGGAAAACCAGGACATTGTTGTTGGAGATGCAACCGGGCATCCATGGGCATTGCAGCTCTCCAAATCAAGTCAGAAAGACTTAAAAGTGAATTGTCAACATCAAAGGAGTAATGATATGGTCAGCTGTAGCACCATTTCACCTGTACAAAGAAAAGTGAAATGGGAAACAGGACTGAAATACTGTTTATTTTTCCATCTTCCCTTCCCATTCTTTTCCTTGCTTGGTGCGTCTTTTGAAACTGTAAGCCTGAAGGTAGAAAATGCTCTGTTCTACTTATTGCATATTAAGCTGCTCCTGGGAACTGTGCTGGCTGAGGAGTGAATAAAAATACTTTAAAACAATAAACAATACTTTTCTGTCTCAGGCACCAGACTGTCTCTGGTCATCCCTGAAACCAGGAATACTGTTTTAAATGCCTGATTATTAGTTATGGCTTTGATCCATTGAACATGAGGGGCATTAAATTTTGTATTACTCAACGTAGGCACAAAATAGGAGGGGTGGTCTGAACTTCACCTCAGTGTTGTTTCTTCAGTCATATGTTCTGAGATCTCTTCATTTTTCGAAAAGAGTCTCACACATAGCACTTATGGTGCTTCTTAGTAGGGGACAGCAAGTTGAAGAGATCTCTCCCCGAGTTTAATACAGCTTACTCTGAAGTAAATGTGCATCATATTTGCAGACTTAGCCATCCAATATACTAGTAACAGTAAGCTCATTCTCCAAGTTTCGGTTCTTGTGGAACCAATGTGGTTTGGTTCATCAAAGTGCATCTACAGACAAGAGGAACTACCTGTAGGCTTAGAGAAACTCCTGAAGTTTGCAGAAGTACCCCTCCCTGCAAATATCCCTTCAGGAAAAAAATCCCCTAAGGAACAAGGCAAACAAAAAGCCCAAGGGGGACTGCACTCCTGACTGGAGGGGAGCAAACAGAGAATGCAGTACATCAATGGAATGTTTAGCTGATTTCAGGCTATCAACCAGTCATGACATTTCCATGACATCTGTTGTGGATTCCACTTGTGCACTGTGCAAGGCCCAAAGTTTGTGCATTTTAATTGTATCTATGATTGTAATCTAATGCAGATTTACTTTGGCCTAAGCCCTACTTAATTCAGTGGGACTTCATACTTCTGAGTGAAGATGTGTAGCCTTGGGCTGCACAACAGCAATCCTATGCCAAGCCTTTTGGGAACAAGACCCTTTCAATATAGTGGGACTTACTTTTCAAATTAGGCTGCATGGCTGCCACACAATACACATTTCCCAGAACAGCTGAATACAAGAGCGCCAGAACTTATTTCCAAAGAAATATGTGTAGAAATAGAGTGCATGCCACCTCAGCTAATACATTGCTCAGTGGTAGGTTTTGCATCTGTCTAATTTTAAAAACGTTTTCTTCCTGCTGCAGCATTTCAGTTAGGCTGTTCCACACTCAGAAGAAAGAAACAGAGCAAGCAAAAGAAATAACACTCAAGATAAATAACTGTAAGGCCACCAACAGTTATTCGATGACGTAAAAAGAGATTAAAATATTTTCTTGTTTCCCTGTCTTCTGACTCAACTAGAAGTGGGACAGTTTGGAATTTTATAAGCGATTTGCTGTAATATTTTAAAAGTGACATAGAAAGAATGCCCTCTATCTTAAAGAGTTTTACATCCTGACTCAGACATGGATACCTTAAAAATAACAAATCGTGTTGAAAAAAAGTAACCCTAAAGGTTTCAGTTTTAGATTAAAATCTGATTTTAAAAATAAATAGAAGACGTTAAAGGGCCAGGAATGGAGCCGGGATGGACGCCACAGCATGGAAGCAGTCCCCCTCCCTTGGCCCAATAAAACAAGCGAGCGGCTCGAAAGCCCTCGCCGCTCTGAAGGCGGCTCTCGTGGGAGCCCCGCACACCGCGGGGCACGAGGCGCTGATCGGCCGCATAGTCCACGGAGAACAGCGTCCTAGCCGCGCTCAGCTCGGGCAGCGGGCGCGCGCAGGCGACCCTCGCACCTGAGGCAGGAGCGAGCGGTGCGTCCCCCTCGCTAGCGGCGGCGATGCTACTCCCCGCCCGCCGCCCCTCCGTCAGGCCACGCGGGTCCCTATTCATGGGGCGCCGCGGAGGGAGCTCTGCAAAGGGGCACCCCAGCAGGGGCGGGCGTGCGCGAGGCGGCGGGGCCCGCTCGGGAGAGCGCGTGCGTGGTGCATGCGCGCGCGCGTGCGCGCGGAGGAAGTGAGCGCCGCAGCGCGCGCCCCCCCATTCGCTGCGCGCGGCGCGGGGCTGAATGGCCGGGGACGCTCTGTTGCAAGCGGGAGGGAGCCGCTCGGCCTCCTTGCAAAGGCTCCTTTGGGGAGACTTGTGCGCCTCTGGCCCGAAGGCTAATCACTTTGTTCCTGCTTGCCCGCCCCCGCCCCCCGCTTCTCCCTTTTAATAGACTAATGAAGCTCAAACAAGTAGGCTTAGCCTAGTGATAGCTCACGTGGCTCCCAGGCCGTCCTGGCTTGCCATTGGGCGTCAGTAATTATAGGCACACTCCCGGGAGAGCACGGAATCCTCGGCGCATAAATTATGCAGATGAAGGAAAGTGTAGCACGGGGCAGACCTGATGCCTCGATTCATTCATTCCGCCGGAGCTTGCTGGGGGGGAGCGGGGGGAGGGAGACATCTATTGTTTTACAGGGTATATAAGATGTCTGAGGCCGGTCGTGTGCCAAACTCCTGCTCACACGACTTGATAGCGGCGGAGATCACTTCATCGACAAGAGCTGTCGCGTGTGTGCCGCCGTTCCCCGCCACCCCTCTTGCTTTCCTTGTCGCCTGGACCTTCGCGGACGACGCACGTTTTTCCTGGTCAAGTTGCAGCTCGGAAACTCGGCGGTGCGTGCATGTGCGGAGTGCCGCCCTGAGCACGCTTCGAGTGAGTATGCGGGCAAGGCAAGAACGGAGCGGCGGAGCTCGGTGGCCGTGCTTCGTAGGGCAGATCGCGCCGATCGAAGACGGCGGAGAGTTGGTGGTTGAGATCCCAAGCGATCGATGTGAACTTGATCTCTGCACTACCTTGATTCAAAGAGATCATCATTTCCACCCGGTTTATTTGATTACTGGGCTTCCCCTTTTTTAATCGACATGATCCCCTAAGAGGGAAGTGTCCTGACTCAGAACTATGATTATTTCTTCCAGTTTTCTTTAATGTCTAGATTTTATTTCTGATCAACTTTTCTGCTTCGTTTGGGTTTCTTATGGGACAGTGGCTGACGTTTTACCTTTTTTTTAATTACCCCCTTCCTTTTCATCCCCGCCCCCCGCCCAGCCCTAACCAGCCCTGGTCCCTTCATCCTCAGCCACAGGTTCTGGTGACTAGGTGTGCTGTATCTTCCCTCTCTTTGCAGGATGTCCTCTGCCCTCGAGACCAGCTACTCTGACCTGGAAAACAGCAGCGACGTGTCCTTTTGCCTCACAGATGATGAGGGGAGTCTCAGCACCCTGCAGATCCCTTCTCTCGCTGCCCCCAAACCTCAGCACAGCCCTGGGGGGAAGGGGGAAGAAGAGAAAGAGCGGAAGAGGCGAAGGGGGCGCACCAAGGTCAAGAACGAGGCTGTCCTTCACACCATCAAAAAGACAAGGCGGGTCAAGGCAAACGATCGAGAGAGGAACCGCATGCATAACCTCAATGCAGCCCTGGATGAGCTGCGGAGCGTCTTGCCCACCTTTCCAGATGACACCAAGCTGACAAAGATCGAGACCCTGCGTTTTGCCCACAACTACATTTGGGCGCTCTCGGAAACCCTGCGACTGGCAGATCAGTGCCTCCAGAAACCTTCCAAAGAAATGGTGCTGCTGCCCAGCTACCTGAACCTCACAGACCCCCCCAGCCCAGGCAGCGATGCAGGATCCTGGATGTCCACCGCCTCTCCAGCCACCTCATCCCACTCTGCCTGCACATCCAACCCCGGCAGCCCGGCCACCTCGGAAGACTATTCCTATGGGCGCACAGAGACCCTCTTCTCCTTCCACAGCCTCCCGAAAGATTTGTTGCAGAGTCCTTCCTGCTTTGTGCAGTACCATTAGAGAAGGCAGGGTGTGCTTGTGGGAAGGGGGTTCCACATTGAAACAAATGGCCCAAAATTATCATTACCTGCTGGCTTGTTTTGGCTCACTTTTAGGTATCCACAAAAGGCTGGGTGGGGGAGCTTCTCAAATCAAAGCTTCCCAGATTCAAGTTATTTTCAACCCCCAAAATCCAGAGCTGAGTGATGTAAGAAATGTTTACGTCCACATCCAGGGAGAAAAGCTGTGAGGAACCAGCATTAAGGCTGGCCTTTTAACATAGGCCTTCGAATAAATTTTGTTTGGCTGTCGCAGTAGCAGGATCTAGCCCAAAATATAGTTTTATTTTGCCCCCTTTGCTTTCTAAAGGATTTTTGTCTTCTCCACCTCTTGCCATCACTTTTCTTTTTGCACTTTTTTTGAACTTCACAAATCCCACTTTGTTTCTTTCCTACCACTGACCTGAGAGCTCTTGGGCATCAATATGATCTAGAAAAGGAAAGAAAAGGGACAGATTTGCTGCTGCAGACGAGGTGAAAAGTCAATTTTACAATTTGTAGAACTCTAATGAAGAAAAATGAGCATGAAAATTTGGTTTGAACGCCCTGACAATGCAATGAAAAGGCTTAGGGGAGGGCTGATTCGGCTGGGTGAACAGGGCCTCCTGCTAGGGACTTAGCACACAGAATTCTCAACCAACTCTAATGGTTCTGGATGGCGCTTTGCTTCTCCTTGGAAGAGCTTTGAATGCTGACATGATCAGTCCCCAAAGAGGGCAGACAAGGAAATAGGTTCATGCATTATGGATCTTGACCTCTGCTTTCTTGTTTTCGAGTAGGACTAGACGGGGCTTTCACTGACTGGGTCTGATGCTAGTTTAATTTATTCAAGAACTTTCATTTACATGAAAATTGTATTTTTGTACATAAAGAGCTTTATTCTTATTATGTCCACATTATCTTAAAATGAGATACTGTACTTTTTTAAAATGCTTGTTGTAAATAAATATTTTTAACATTTGTAACTTTAGTGCATTTGAATTAATTCCCCCCACAAACCCACCGCCTGGGGTTGAATATTTCATAATATGAGCCTCTCTTTGGAGAAGCAGGAGCTGGTGATACATTTCAATAGTAAACAGGACAACTAGTACTGTTGCACAAACATCTGAAATAAATTAAAAAGCAGTTACCCATGAAGAGATCTGTACATGCATTAAATGACAGAATTCTCCCACATCACCTAAACATGAATGCACATACAAGCTATTGATGCTCACAATAAGCAAGTTAAATTTGGTGGCCATGATTTAACTCTCAGCAAGAGACTACCTGTGGGGATACACATTCAGAGAGAGAGAGGGAGAGAGAGAGAGAGAGGTCTCTTTGGTGCAATGAAACATCAGCTGGCAACAGATTTTCAAAGAAAAAGGCAACAGATTTTCAAAGAAAAAGGGATTAAAAGGATCAATAAAAAGTGACAATTATGTAGAAAGTGGAAAGTGACAGGTGGATGCCTAGAGCATGGAGTTTGCAAAGCTTTAGATTTCTCCCCTTTCTGAAGGGGCCATGGAGCTGTCTTAGAGGTGCTTTTAAAAAAAAAACCTGAAATCCTTTAAAAATTGGCTCAAGTTTACACAGTTAATAGCTAGTCAACATACTTGAAAATGCAAAAATCCCAAATCCTCTTTCCAACCCGCACAGTACTGTCAGGCCTTCACACTTTTGTTCCTTCATTTTCAATGTGAGGCTCTTGCTCTCACATCTCCCTCTTGCTTGCTTCAGTATACAAACCACTGTCTTTTCCTTGTGTGCATTGTTTCAGTTACATTGTGATTTTTCTCTTAGTACAGGGTACCATGCTTTGAGAGCTAGCCCATTTTATGGGACTGCTTGGCTTCAAAAAGGATAAGTAAGGGATAAAAGATTACAAAATTATGCAAAGTGTATGGACATTAGAGAGGGAGAGTTTTTCTTCCTCTGCTAGCACTGAAACTCTGGACTATCTAATGAAACTGACTGGAGGAAAATTCAGGAAGTCAAAGGAAAGTACTTCTTCATACCCTTGAACTAAGAGAGATTGATGTCTTTAAAGGGGGCCAGACAAATTCATGGAAGAGGAGGCTATCAATGATTACAAGTCCTGAAGGTTATATGCCATTTAGTCCAGTATCAGGCAGTATGCCCACATGTACCAGTTGCTCAGGTCCACTGGCAAAAAGCTGCTATTGCACCCATGTGCCGCTTGTGCAGCTGCTTGGTCACTCTCAATATAAATAAGGACAGACTGGCAGGACCCTTCCTCTGATCCAGCAGAGCTCTTCTTAGGTTATCCTCACAATGGACCAAGAGTCACTTCTGCTCCACAGTCATCCATGAACTGGAATGTCCATCTGTATATTTACCTGGTTCCAGTCTTGACATTCATTCTAATAGTTCTCGCTAGCTTGTGTTCTCATTACAGTAATGGCATTGTTGCAATCCCAAGTCCACTTCCTTGGTGCAGGGGCTCTGCACCACACCCATAATTTGTATTTATTCCTTGTACATCTATAGCTGACTTTTCCTCCAAAAAGTCCCAAACCTCAATTCTGTGAGGGCAGCTAGGGGGAAAATAGTGACTCCTTCCATGTCTGTAAGCAAGAACCACTTGGGTCGGACAAGCCACATGGTACAGGAAAAACTACATTTCTCTTAGCCTCTTAGCCCTTATCTCCAGCTGAAATAAAGCCTGCATACATCTAACTCCATTTTTCTCACATTCATCCTCGGTTATCTTTCCCTCTCATTTTAATGTGTGCCCCTTCTTTCCCTTTGTTGCTTTCCCTTCTTCAAAGCTTGAACTGAAAGCTCACCAGGGCAGGAAAGTACACCCTGCATATGAGTTTGTACAATACCACATATACTTGTCAAACCCAACCCCACCTCTATGCCTTCGTTAGAGACAGCGGCACAGGGAACGAGGTACAAAACCAGCCCACTCTGCAAGGTTGCTACATGCCATGTGGCTGCAAGCTGCAAGTGACAAAAGATTTTTCAGCTGTAACTGCACTGTACGCATAAATCATAATATGCCAGTTAGCCATGGACTCATGCTCTACAAGGACATCTGTTTGCTGATATACAGTACTTTTTTAAAGGTGTGTAGGAAAAATAAACTTGTTTCCAAGAACCTGCTTCAGAACTAAAATGTTTTGCATGACCGTGGTACTGCGCCACAGCAACCTTGTAATCAAGTCTTGGAGAGGGATGGATTACTCTGTTTCTTCGGGGCAGTTCAGCAGTGCAGCATGAACATTTTACTGCTCTCAGTGGAACTAAACTAGCCTAAATAAAAGTATACCAATTTAATTAGACTATCAAGCTGAAAGGGAGATGGAGAATCACTATGACATAAAGGACCGATAGCTTGATCCTCATCCGATTCATTTCTATTTGGAATGAAACATATTTTTCATAAGATTTAATGCATAGAATTCAGACATTATATTCCAAGGCTGCCATTCAAAATGAAGAATACCACTTGAATCAGACAATGTTGCCTTCAATTAATTTTTCACTGGCTAAAACCTCCTAGGTTTATACCTTTCTCTGGCATGTGATTCAAGTAGATAGGATTGCTTTAAGTAAGTACATTTATAACGGCTTACATAAATGCCCTTTTCATTATCAAATACTGGACACAAAGATTGTGTACCATGTGCAAAAACTTTCTTAGGGAGGAGGGGAAAAGGTTAGTTATTTTCTTGATTTGTATATGCATTTTTGTACTGATTCCTTTATTAAATGGATCCATGGGAAACAGCAACTTTGTGCAGTTTTCACCAGCATGCTCAGCACAGTGGTGTGGAAAAGTTTTGTTCAGCAGAGAAAGCGTTCACACACTGAGTAGAAGTGCTGTTACTTTGTCTTTGCATATATGTCACGTCAAGTGTGAAAAGATTGTCAGGTTGTGATCTGAAGCAGAACAAACAAAGAAAATAAAGTCTGGCCTTAGGGCAAAGGTATAAAGATGGATTAACCCCTATTTTGAAACCTGGAGAAATAAACTTATGGACTTGAAAATCATCTTTGCTTTTCCTCTTCCATGTTTTCTCCATTTGAATTGTTCTACTCACTTCACTTTAATAGCTGGCATAGGGTGTGCAAGGCAGGATTTCCAGCTTCCATTATGCACGAGGGCTCTTGGAAGTGAGTCAGCTCGGCCTTTTGCTTTAGAGCTTATTCGCTTTCTATAGTGGAGGGTAAATCCTCTATTTGTGACTCCAGCAAGGGGTCTCTCCAATCCTGCTGTAGGTGCACGTGTCTGGGATAGAACACTGGTTTTCTTTTCCTTTAAGCCCTCGGGAGACACACCAGGAAACCAGTTCCAAAGCCCTCCTCACATCCTGCTCTGAGGAAAGCACACGGGGCGATTGCTTTTTGAGCTGGCAGCTGGCTAGAGTACTGCTGAATATAACGGAGCGATCAAGCTGACGGTCACTATGGCACAGGAGGAAGCCTGCCGAGGTAGCAGCGCCTGAGCGTGTTGCATTAAACAACAGTGCTATGGCACAATATGGTTCAAATGAGGACACGGCACCTGTGACATAAAGCACCGGACGTGCTCAACCTCCTTGCCTTCTCTCACATATAGCAAAGGGAAGGGAAGGACTGTAGGCACAGAATGCATGGGATGTGCAACCATTTTGTCAAAGCAGAGGTCGTTGTACTCTCAGCTACAAAGGATGCCTGACAAAGAGCAGAGCAGCTCTCCTACAAAGAGGAGACGGTCTCTTCATCACTAAGATCTTTTTTTTTTTTCCAGAAAGCACTGAAGGGCATCTTGGGATGGCTTCTAACGCATGTCACAAATCAAAAGAAGGTGAAAGAGCTAACCACATTGGGACAAATGAGGCACTGGACACTGCTGAAGAGTGGTAAGAAGTAGGGATGGGTCATTTAAAGGACAAACAGCTGTGTGGCTTTAGTTATCCAGATTAAAATACCATTTTTGGTCCTGCATTTTAACATTCAGCAGGC